TCTGTCCAGTCTTTTTGCCTTGATGGGGCAGCCGATCCGGGAGAATATATGGAAAATATTGAGGACAAGCAAGATCTCTGTCCAAGGCAGGTCAAACAATCGCCGTATTTCAGGGGTGGGGCTGGCCTAAGGGACCTCTGAAAAAATTAGTAGATCGACTGATTGACTGGAATGTGTGGATAGCGTGATATGGTCCATAAAATTATTTCAGGGGTGGGGTACCCCCTAAACGACCTGTTAAATAATAAATAAGGTGGGGGGAATGTTGCCAGTATTTGCCACTTATTCCATGGAAAACATGGAAAAGGTTGAAAACATTGAGGAGTTTAGAAGAAGGAACCAGTAAGGGGGGCAAGGCTTACCCCACAGACATCATTAATAATATTCAAGTAACTATTTATTTTGGGGGTAGATGACAGGTAGCCCACCTGCCAAATAATATTGTGTTTGTGCTCGAATGGATGGATCCCAGATAAGGTAGCCCCCTGATAGGATGGATCCCAGCGAGAAATTGATGAGAGTGTGAAGCCGGCTGCTTTGGCTACCAGAGTTTTGGATCAGGTGTGCCTTGGCTAGTTCAAACTGATTGCAGCGCGACAAACGATGACTTGGTGGCAAAGCATAGCTGATTGATGTGGGAGTCAGACGTTCACGGTCTGACAGAGAAACCGAGAGAGAATGGCAGAAAAGAGGGCGCGATTATTTTTTGTAGGTGGTTGCGCTTGCACCACCTACGTTTGCTGTTACTGAACACTTTCCTAGGAGCTGTCCCCATATATCTGCCCACTTAGGTGGGTGGTCTATACCACCCCCCCCCTATCTTATCATGCTGTGTGGTTTATATTTTACATCTTGATTGTCTCAGCTCTGTGGACAAGCACATCAAATTATTTTTGCTCTGGCACACGTACCCCTCCACCTGCCAAATAATTTCCAATAAACCCTGCATCATACCTTCTTCCACGGGTTATTGTTATTCTATGTCATTCAGTGCTAAAAGTTATTTGGAAACCATATATCAAAATAATACTTTATTATTTTGCAACATGCCATACCATATTTTTTTCTACATGGTAGATATTATTTTGACCCACCACCTACATGCCTTTCCAAATAATACTTTATTGATATTATGTCAAACAAATTATTTGGAGACGAGACGGTCACCTCAAAATAATTTCGCTCGGCAGGGGCTATTCTACAATGCCCCTATATTAAGCGACTCTGCAGCAAACTGTTCACCGACCATGTATGTTATATATATAATACACACAATATAATATGTCTGACAGCAAAGCTCGTTTCAAACACAGACATGCACGTGTGAAGCGTGTGTGGCGGATGCATGTGCATCTTGTAAATGTCCTTCGGTTATGAAAATGATTCTGATGCGACCAATCACACAGGTTCTTAGGTTCTTGTCTATTTCATAGCACTGGCCCGATCCTGCCTCCAATAGCAGAACTTGCATTTGCACTCTCAAGTCTAGTCAAGCAAAACAAATGTTTTCATGGTCAAATATCCTTTCGCTAGTTACTCTTGAACTTGATGGCATTCCATGGTTTGGGTGGGCTAACTCAGACCTGAACAAAACACTTGCACACACGTGGGTCAAAGGGAACGAATTGAAGGGTGTAGGGTAGGGGTAGAATCAGGTTTGCGGAATATGCGGTGTGCCTAAGTCACCACAGTACTTATAGTTTGCATAATTTGCACCAACAACTTTGCTGCCAATGGTGGGAAGGGTGGACTAATCATCAGTACTCACAATGACTCCACTTAATACTTTGCTGTGGCGTGTTCGCCTAGCGATTCAAAACGGCTTTGCCAATGTCCTTCGTGTAGGTAATCAGGTCAGTCAAACAGTCTACAAACACCTCACCAGCACAGTTGGACCGCTCACGTTATGTACAGTAGATCTATTTGTGTGACTCTTTTGGTTTCACTTCCCGTGATTTTAAGGTGTCTTATGCAGCGGTGCGTGTTCTCAAGGCTTGCATATTGCCCCCTAGAGTCCTATTGTGAGCAAGTGGTGTTGTGGCCACAACGTAGAAGTAACCTGTGTTTGTGTGTGCTGGGGAGATGACACGTGAGTCGGTAGAAGCGGTTGAATCCTGCTTCAATCTGGTGTTGAACGGTGGTCAGTATGAACAGCTGAGGCTTGAGCTGGATGCACGAAAATGTCTCTGTGACCGGTTCCAACGAGCCTTAAGAACATCTTGAGAAGCAAAGGTTGAGGAAAAGGATAGAAACTGTTTCTATTATATTCAACTATATAAATCTATCTAAATATCTACTTACTAATCCATCAATTGGGGATACCTGGGAACTGCGCATGCCGCTGCAAAGCTGGCAAGTTGTTGTCCTTTGACAAACCAAGCATGCCAATGTCACACGAAATGGACTCTCAAAAACGAATCAGAATAGCAATGGTTGGCGAACGCTCTAGACTTTAGAGGGAAAAGAATCTGCAAACTCCTCTACCGTGTGGACAGAGTTGGTCTGACAAGCAAATAGAGTTACATCGTAGAACCGTAGCTGGAACATGTTGGACAAGCAACTCTTGCAAGTTTGCTGGCACGAAAGACATCGAAAGACACATCCAAACTGCGCCTTCTTGTCAGCCCATGAAGAATCCCACCGCCTGGGTGAATCAAAGGCAATCAAGATCAATCCAGCATCTGCATCTGGATGATCTGGGCAGTGAGTCTCCAGCCATGCATCTCTGCGAGAGTGGCGACCAGAGCTGGTTGCATCACCCCGAGCCATGTCAGAGATTTCTTGCCTGATGTATTGGTGGCAAAAAGTGTGAGGATGCTATCTCCTTGAGATGTTTCATAGAATTTGTGGCCCCCACAAGGTGAATGCAGGCTTTCGCCTTCTGTGCCGCCCCTGCAAAGCTACACCAGTTTTAATTGAGATGCTGAAACATGAAGTTGCCTCTCTGTGCGACTCTGATCTCCGCGACCTTGCCGCGAGAGAAAAAATGCAAAGAAAGAAAGTAAGACTCCTCTTGCGCTGCTCATTTGAATGTAAGAACAACGCCGGTGTCGACGAGAGCCATGCACCCGGCTGGCCTAGGTGATGATGCTGTCAGCTCCTGGACAATCTTTGGAAACCAAGGTCTGGGCTCCATTGCCCCCATGGCCTGGTTCAGAAGTAGCATGCAGCCATTGAGCCATATGGAAAAATCCAAACTTGGGCTAGCGATACTTCTATCAGGCACAAGTCCACAGAATATCCCAATTGTGTTCTTGTGTTAAAGACTTTTCAAGTCTGGCATTTAAGTGTTGTCCGCTAACCTTATTTGTTTTCTGTGTCGGTTCTTTTCTGGTGATTATAGCTGTTGTATATATAGAGGGGGGAGAGAAGGAGAAAGAGACTGTTGGGCCTTTCTCTATTTCTCGATTACTGTTCTCATCTCTCTACATATATAGACCTTTAGATCTTGTCCTTCTTCGGTCTTTGTTCCCAGATAGGGTTGAAGGTTCTAGCATTGCTGAACTGAACACAAGCGGCACGCGCACTTTCAAACAATCTGACGTGCGTACAGAACCCAAGATTTACATTCAGGGCTGTTACCACTCTTGAAGGTCAGGAGCAGCGCGCACCAAACCGTCACCAATGAGCCGGCGCCTTCATCTCGGCCAAACTCATATACAGTCACTATATAACCACGTTGCTTATGAAAGCACCGAATCTCCGACCTACCGACACGCGAAACCACAAATCACCGCCAATCACTACAGAAAACCCCCAACCAAAACAAACCTCTAGAACACCAGCATCTCAAACAAGCAGAAATCACTACCAGGCAAAACAGGCAGGCAGCACAAGTTTCACAAAAAGCAGCACATATCCCACAAACAGTGCCATGTGGCTGCCACACGTGTTCCTCTTCAAAGTGACCACCCAGGTCATACGTGTGCGTGATAAATCTGGAGACCTGAAAAAGCAAAATCTGAGGCCAAGGCGGTCGAATTCTCTGCGGTCAGAGTGCCGCTCTGGCCGGCGCCGTTCACGTTCGCGGTCGTGCCGCTCATGGCGCTCATGTTCTCGACCTGTCCAAAACATGTAGTGAATGAAGTGACTATATACGTAGTGTTTTGCAAGAACACATTCCAGTTTCGACTTTGCGCTGAAGGCAATCTAAGTTCCTTGCGCTTGCCATGGCCAGGCCGATACAAAGCTGAGTTTTGCAGCTGGTTTCTGAGCTCTGCCTTGCCAGTGTCGTCCAGTCACTGAATTTCATTAAACTTGGAGTGTGTGCCAGAGACAAACAAGCTCTATGGCATCTGCCAGTCTGTGCGAAAGATCACTTCCTTCTCCAGACCTGACATCGACAAGCATTTGTAAAGGCGAGTGTCTAGCTTGGCATGTCACCAACTTACGCATGTAGTGTAAATGTTTAAGAGCACATGATGCGTCTGTGTCTGGGTGTTTTGCAACCGGATGTAGTTTGACATCATTGTTCGATCCGTTTAACTTTACTTTACATGTACATCCCGATGCGTTTCGTTGCAAGCCTTGACCCTGTTTCCTCCCAACGGGAGGATGGGAGCATCACCTCAGCGGTCTACAGTTTGCTTTGACAAACCCTCTTTGAAGAGCACAGTGTTCTCTCCATTTAGTGTGGCACTCACCGGATACAGACTGGCCATGCATGGATATTGTTTCAAACCAACAAAACCGCAGGAAAGAAAAAAACAACAGTGCTTTGTGCTGACTGCCAGGGCCTTTTGACGGATTGTCATGGGATGCGTTTTCTCTTTGTGCAGACAACTCGAAGGGCATGAATAGAGATATATGAATTATTATGAATACTCACAATCTCTTGCCACATGCAGAGGCCATATGTGCCGCTTTTGAAGCGCTCGAGCCAAAGTGGCAAAGTCAGCCAAAAAGGAACAAAACATGCCAAGCCAAATGGCTGAAATCTTTGTAGCCCAGCAAACACACCCACCAGCAAACACTACTAAGCCATGACTTGTGCCACTGGCCTTGAACAATTCTAAGTTGTCCTTTGTTGTACGCGATATTCCTGGCAATCTGCGTAGACAATGCAGTCCAAGCCAAGTGGCCAAACGTCGCAACATTGAGGAACCAACCGACAATCAGCTACATGATTGGGAAATTGTCCCCAATGCCTTAGCCGTCACGTAGCAAAAGCAGGCCTTCCAACACACTCCACATGCGTTCTTGGCTTTAGCGAAAACCACACGCCGCGTTCGCAAGTTCTTCGCTCCATTTTTGTCTTCACCTGTCACTGTCACCTGTGAGTGGGTGGTGGCGGCGTTGCTGCGCGGGACCGAGCCTCCGCCTTGACAGCGTTCAGTTTTGACCTTTTCCTTTTCCAAAACGTGTGATGTTTCCTTTTTCCAAATCACCTCCAAACGCACAGCTTCTCTCACTTGCCAAAAGTGTTTGATCGGTTCTCGCTTTGCCGCAGGGTGCCAGCCCAACCTTCACCTTGCCCTTGCGTTCTTGGGCTGAATCCTTTGACTCGGCTTTTGCCTCAGAAGGACTCAAGCTGCTTTGCCCACAAAAAACATGAGCAATATAACATCCAGCTCTCCTAGCAAGCTGTAATATCAGCTCGAGGCTCGAGGTTAAATGATCAGCTTTTGCAGGACCATAATTATGTGATCCACAGGCTGAACGACGCTACTACAGTATATATTCTGACTGAGGCCGCCCCCGAAGGGTGTCCTAATTTTCGTGTGGCAGGGGGGGGGCCCACACGACCTCCACCCCGGCCGGGGCCCGGGGGAGGGGCCGGGCGGCACGACTACTACTACTTCCTCGTAGCACAGAACCCTTCTTACAACCCCTCGTAGCATGGAATCCTTCTCAGTTGTCTCGTAAAGCAAACACCGTAGCGGTTATTGTCTGAACACTAAAGCACGGTGCCATGGGAGGAGACTGCGCCCCCCCCAACCCCTCCCGCGCCAAAAAAGTATTATCATGACCATTCACCAGCATTACCTCACCGTGATTTCACCTTGTCCTTCTCAACCACGTTCCATCGAGTTTCAATGCGATTTGAGAACGAGTTTCCAGTATTCTTACAGCATGCTTACATCCAACCACCAGGCACCGATATTGTCCTGATCTCAGTGGTGCCATGCCCTTTTGCGCTAGTTCGACCATTTCTTCTACATTGACAACTGCATCTACTTCGACAACTACTTCCCTTTCTTTTTTTAGCCCGCTCCCCCCTGTCTACTTAATCAAGTAAGAGAGGTAGCTACTAGTAAGCTTCTAGTAACTGGACGCAGGATAGCTCACGCTTCTTCAAGGAAGCTCCCCCTGCCTGAGGGCCGGGGGAGCTTTCTTGAAGAAGCGCTCGCACTATTCATTTGGTTCCTAGGTTTTTTGGGGCAACTTAACACCAAGTGTGTGTGTATATATAAAAATACATACTCTTCAACGACAAATCGAACCTCAGCTGCACCTAATTGACCAGTTACAAGGCTTCTTCAAACTATATCGTTCCAGCCTTCGTGAACTCCAATATTGACATGCTCCTCCATATCAACCAAATACAACTTGGCCATGGTTTCTCCAAAATCTTGCTCAGGTCTCCCAAAGCTCGAATACATTTCACTACCCTGACACAGCGCCTCATGGGCTCCCACGGCCAGTATCCACTGTACATGTATTACATGTCATTTCAGAAGACACTTTGACTCAACTTCCCACATTCACCAACACGCTGCCCAGCATTTGGCAAAATCCGCCATCATTCCCTACCCAGCCCTGATCAGTGGCTCCAACAACAACCCTCCCTGATTGTTGAAGAGATGATTGCTGAAACCAGCAATGAGTTGATTGCACTCATGTTCACCTCCATCCTCACGGTAGCACACGACAAGAATTCTTTTGTGTATCCTGAGCCACGATCCTACCTTTGATTGTAGGGGTGTGGTATTTCAGCTTGACTGACTAACCAGCGTTCTCCTGCTACTTGTGCCCCCAGGTGCACTATGACCTGGACCTTGTATCTTCCTTGCATTTGGACAAAGCCACAGATGGACGGATGGACGGACGGATGATCCCATATGATACACTTCTAGATATCTCCAATGTATTTGCTCTACGCTTTGAGCTTCAAATCGGTTTATTGACTGTTGACGCGTGCCACGGTCAATACTCACAATATGGATAATGGACATCCAACCCCCAATAGGAATCCTTTTAATGGGCAATATACACCTATTAATAGGTGGATGACCAGCCCCTGCCATAGGTGATAAACCGTGACAATTAGTATTGACCATGGCTCACGTGGGCTGGCTCACGTGGGCGGCATCATGAACATCACCACCTGCGCTCCACGCCTCCTTTTGCCATAGGTATTCAATTGATTACCAAGGACGTTATCCACTATCTATGGCCGCTTGGACATTATTCACTGCTAACATTTCTGGCTTGCTATTCCTTCCAATTTGGGGGCCCACCCCATGTCGAAGCCCCTAGTAGCGTCCTTGCTCCTAGTAGCGATGCCAGGAGCCCCTAGGAGCGTCCTTGTTACTAGTTTGATCACTTGACATCAGTTGTCCGTATCACACCTTTCGAATCCTTCATGGAGGAGACCTCTACGTGATGATATATTCTTCAATCAACTTGGAATACCCATGCGTGCTTACCCTGTGCAACGTTTCACCAACAAGATCTCCAGCCATTGCATCGGCTTGCTGCAAAGTACTAATGCACAATTCTTCGTTTCAAGCAGCATCAATGCATCTGTGATGTGTGTTGCTTCCGCACTACGCATCTCTGCATAAAGCACTTCTCGTCCTTCGTCCCTCCTCTCCCTCCTCTCCGTTTACCAACCCTATTAGTACTGCACACTGCCCCTGCTCTTCTGCTTCTATTCATATCTGTGTATCTGATGATTGCACATCTGAACCCTTGCAGAAGCCAAAAGCAAGGATGAGAGACCGAATATCCAAACTCTAATAGCCACGAGCATTCACCAGTCTGCATCTGGCAAGTTGCAGTCTGCCCTTTGACAGACTTCACCTGCACCAAACAACTTAGTCTTGCAACAGATAAGAAGCTCAGTTGTAAGATGTCCGCCTTTAATTTGTTGCGAAATTCAGGCTCACGGACCTTAGAGTAGGGAATTGAGAATGTTCAGTCGAGTGCTTCTTGTGCCAGAAAATAGGCTTGCCCCACCTCATCTGCTTGCAAAATTTCAGTGCCCATCAGCTTGTCCATGAACGTGAAGAAGGGAGCATAGTTTCCCCAAACAACTGCGTGATGCAGGTGATGGTGCCTACAGCAAGGAGATGCCTGAACTTGGCACCACTAATTTTTCCCTCAGATCCAGCTGCAGACACGTTGCATGCTTCCTCCAAAGTTGCCCATTGTTATGGCATTCAACAACCACCCAAGTGGAGTTTGTCGCCAGCCGGTATGGGCCTGAAACGTCTTGTGGCTGGACCTACGCACATTTTGCTTGGGCTGGTGCCCAGGCGCTTTTTTCAGCATGCCCTGACACTGTTTGAGATTGCCAGCCTGATGAGTGCTTCAAAGCTGCGGGGGGCGTCCAGCCTCCAAACTGATCAGCGTGTACAAAGAGTACCAAACCTCCGTTGGTTCCAACATCAGCAAAACCAGCAAGCTTGGGGCCAGCAGCCCAAAGTTACAATCGAAAGCAATGTTTAAAGATGTACAAAAAGAGTCATCTGAGCAAGCCACCCAGCAAGTAAACGGGTGGGCTCCACACGCAGCAGGTGAAAAAACTGAAATGGTGAAGACCACCAGCAGTTCCATAGGATGGACATGTGGACCAACCTGACAAGGACCCCTCTCATCAGTTTCACCTGGGAATGACCGTGTTGCTCACTGAGTTGGAGACCGTCACAAATGTTTCCTTGTACTCGTGGTGAATAGAATGAATGTGCTTCCAAAGCCCTCTGTGCCGATGCATTTGCAAGTGTACAAACCCGTAGGCGAGGTCAGACACAATCAGGCAAAACGTCAAATGGACCTTGGCGGCAGTCAAGTTGAATTAGAAAGCAGCCAAAAAGAAATGGAAAATGCACACCCAGCGTGTCTCTTGGCCACCAACCAAGAGCTCAACCACCGAAGGTGCATGGGAGGGAAGACTCAACTCACACTTGTCAAGACAGCTTGCCTTGGCCCAAAGCAGCCCGCGGTGGAAATGCAAAGTCAAAATGTTGGGCTGCTTTCATAGAGGCAAAATGGAAACTCGTGGCAGTCTGGACACCAGTTGCACAACAAGATTCTCCACACTCAGCAGCTTGAAACGAAAAAATTACTATAGAAACAGCCGCTAAACTGCAACACCTGTTTTGGGCCGCGAGCTAAGGTAAGTAAAGTCCATGTGACATCCTACATATGTGCAAGGTAAAAGTGTACATATTACATGGAGTGAAAATAGGCACTGCGATGAAGCAGGCCGAGTTGCTGGTGGCATCGATGGACGCTAGCAATCCAATGCCAAACGTGGCCCTGTGAGTGCAATTTAGTTATTCACTCGCCGCCGCCAAAAGAAACTTGAAAATATGGACTTGGGAGGAAAACCGCAATACATATTTACAAGGATGTCATGCTTTTGAATTATGCTCGCACGAAAGGCGTTGAGACTTGGCTCAACTAACTCCAGCGCCCCCAGCTCTGACTCGAGCCAAGAGCTGCGGTCACACTGGTCCCACTGCCGCTGCTCGCCCCATTGGCCCCAGCTCCATGAGCTCCATCCCCAAGAGGAAGAAGAAGCTGATGCCGTCGGGCTCACCGATGACGGCAGCTGTGCTCCCTTAGCTTTGCTGGTAGGAGCGCCCGCCTCAGAATGGGACTTGCGTTTGCCTTTTCCCTGCTGCTGACGTTGCTCTTGGTTCAACTTGCTGATCACGTCATTCCTTGCAGCAGCATGGCAATCCCGGCAGATTCGGCGGATGTCCTCGAGGGAATTCTCCCGATCGATGCTGTGGACACCGTCCCAAGCCAGAAGATCACGATGGGCATTTGGAGTCTTCACGTACTCGGAGTACTCGCGCACTGAGAGGATATTGGTGCGGTAGAGAATGCACCACTGCTCGGCAATGTAATCCATGGCTTCTGGATATTGCTCGGGCACTACATCGACGTAGGCCAACCTGGCGAGGGCGTGATCTTCATCGTATCCCAAGCCTAGGCCTAAGCTGACTTGCGCCCTGTTGCGCGGTGGGTTGGCCAAGTGGACATGGCACAACCAATCTTGGCGTTGAGCAGCCCTGAAATCATGACCCATTTGGAGCAATCACTCCATGAACTGGATGTCATGCTCCACCCTGTCTTCGATGCTCTGAAAACCACACTTCTCCGCACGACGGCGGCGGTTTCGAGCTTCTTGAACCATGGCGGCTTCAGGGCTGATGTTCCCACGCCCGCTGGCTGATGTTACCCGGAAATTCAGGCCAGCCTGCGCATAGTCAGAAAGCATGCTCTCAGACTTTGCAATGCCCGCACGGGCGAGTTGCTCACGCCTCAAATCGGCCAAATGCCTCACTGTATAGCGTCTGGCAGCTCGGTGTTCCCCTCAAGTTCGGCGGAACACACATTGCAATGAGTCATACCGCGAAGAACAAGGTTCTGACACTTTGCGCACTCAACATTCACCAAATTCAGCTTCCTGCCACGACGCTGCCCGGGTGCAGTATTGGGCTCACTGAATCCTGGTGGAGGCCCAGCGGGTTCAGGCCCGTCATGGGACGCCGCTGGGCTAGCCGATGAAGGCTGCTGTGGCTCGGTTGCTGCCGCAGGTCCAACACACTTCATTGGAACTCTTCCCTTTTCCACCCTTGCTCTCCTTGCCACCTCCTTTCCCCATTCCATCTTTTCCACTCGGCTTGCCGCCCTTGCCCTTTCCTTTTGGTCTGTCATCTTTGCCCTTAAACTTTCCTTTACCATCTTTGGCTTTCCCTTTTCCTTTCTTACCATCTCCCCTGATGCGGTCAATCTCTATACACATAGGGCCATTGGGATCCGCCGAACTTGTCATTGGGCTCATTCCGTAGAGAGTCAGGGATCTGGGGCGGCAGGGAATTCTTCATGTTGAAGCTGGGGTAGGACATGATGCCCTGCAGGAGATTCATCTGTTCCTGGCCTGAGGTTGGCAGTTCATCAACAACTGCTTCAAAGCCTCCATGCCGTTGAACTTCTCCACATTCTTGATGACACCTGTCAACCGGCCCTGCACTAGGCTTCCCAACATGCTATACAGAAACCTGCTCCTCTGTTGTTCACCTTCGTCCAGCAACTCCCAGTCAATCTCTGTGTTCAGGTTGGCTTCCAGCTTCTCAAGCTCATCTTGGAAGGAGCAACCCACAACCACCAGATACTGCTTGACCGTCCAGTACCAGTCTCGCCACTGCAACACCTCCTGTTCTCGGTCTGCAGGATTGAAGGTACCCGGTCTTGGGAGAAATTTGCCAGGTACCTTGATCTCCACCTGAACCTCCAGCACTGCCCCCATTTCCTCCTCCACTAGGAGCTGCCGCCTGGGCTGCTTGTGCTGCAGCGTTTGCCGCTGCAATCACCGCCTGTGCCAAACCTGGCATGTCAGATTGGTCCATTTTGCCCTCTAGCTCTGTTTCAACCTCCTCGAACAAGCTCAGGTAGCAAGTCCTGCTGACAACTCCACCGATGGAAAGGCCTTCGAAGATCTCCTTCACGTAATCTTAAGCACTGACTGCGAGCAAACTGCTACACCAGTTAGATGGGTGGCTCAGCAAGGGCGCACTTACTCACAGGTCAAAATCTCGGAGCTCCAGCCGACACAAATGTATCGGCCTTCCCGGCTCTGCTACCATGCGAGCTATTTTGGAACCGCGAAAGGCCTTCAGTGAACATGTCTGTACATGCCATGAACTGAGTGGTTTCATTTACATATATATATATATATATATAGGCAGCATATGAAATATTTTGAAAGAAGAGAGGAACCCTAAAGGTTGAAATCCTGACCAAATACCTTTTAAGTTTTCTGAATCTGCTGCGATCAAGAGAAAAATATGAAGGGTCTCGATATGAAACAACTGAAGCGCGGCCATGTCACCACCCATGGTCTTGTGTATGGAATAGGCCCATTCCTGGCCAGTTTCGAGAGCGTGCCAAAGCTGACAAAATTTTGCAAAGAAGGTGGTCCTAGCCAGCATGTAGGTCACCCCCAAAGCAGTGGCAGGGGCAACCTGGGTTGCGGTAACCTTCTGTCAAAAACTGAATCTCATTCTTCTATTTATCTTTTTTTCACAAGGACCGGACATTCAACTGGGACAACAGCGTGCGTGTCAATCCCAGGTCTGGGCCTCAAGAAAAACACAACAAATGCCAAACATTTGAGAAAATTGATGTGAAAGCAAAAGGGGATCCTCTCCCAGAGGGCAGGGATCTAGGAAGTGGCATGACATGCGCAGCCTCCCCAGTCACCAGCTGCTCTTCTGTGTGCCATTAGAGTCTGCACCCATGAAGGCCTGGTGAGAGCGATGATTGCAGCTATGTGAGAAAGGAAATACTCTGAAAGCTCAAGAGCTCACCTCCACCAGTCCAGAAGAAGATAAATTCCGCAGGTAATTACCTGAAAACTCAGCTTTCAACAGCTCGGATGACTAATAGAATTTGCATACACTCCTGCTCCAGGTCACATGAGTCAGCACAAACGGGACCAGAAAAAACAGCGGAGATGAGGTTCCCGGAAGTTCTTTGACCTAAGTGATGAACATGTTCTTCCCGAAAGACTTTGAGTCATCAGACTGCAAACGGCCCTTGCCTTCTTGTCTCAGGGCGCTGCCTTCTGGTACAGACCTTGCAAAAGGGATCCTTCACTGCCCGCAGGCCATACAGCATGCAAGGCCTGGCCTGAATCAGAGACTGAGATCGCTACTAGGAGCAAGGACGCTACTAAAAATCCTGGCATCGCCACTAATAGCTAGAAGGTACTAGTAACAAGGGAATCACCTACCTGCAAAGAGGATGAAAATGATATGCAGAGCAATCAGAAGTCCTCGGTCGGGCATTTGCGGCACTGATGTCAATAAAGAGGGATAAAGCTGAGCACAACCTTTGTACATAAGCTCCTTACCACAAGTCAGCTGTGGGAAATTGTCAACGGTGGGCAAGATCAGTGGGTCAAGTAGTCTCTTTAAACGATCACCTGCATTGCAAGTGAAGGTTCTGCAGTGCTTGTTCTCTTGTTACTGGACCGGTAGAAAGCTTGGAAACGCCCAACCTGTCTTGCTCGCCTTGCGGCAGCTTGGCACATGCTGAAAGTCCATCTTCGAAACAAGTTGCCGTTCCTGGCCCTCGCCTTCTATTTAGTGAACTGCCATGCAAATAGATCTTGAAATATCAAGTGCTCCATGTGCTTGTAATTTGAGCATTTCGATTGAGCCAAAAAAAGGCTGAAAGAGGCGTAGTTGATTCAATGGATGTCAAATGTGTATGACAAATTCAACTTTGGGATGAAAGCCATGAAATAGCTTAGTAGATTCAACCCCACAGGACACCTTGATGCAACAAATGTCATATTTAGGTCTCAAAACAGGTCGCAGGACACCTCAAAGCTCAGAAGAAGACCGATCTCGTTCATGCAGCTCTTGAAAATCTTCCAAGGCGTCAATCAACTCCTTTCAAGCAAGCATCATGAAAGCACCTCAACATGTACTGTATTGCTTGGCATGGATTCTCAACAATATGGCACGACTCAATACCTTTGCCACTTCTTTTTGAACAGGGAAGCAGCCGGAGTGGAGGTTTGAGGGGGAAGCGGGCTAACAAAAAAGAAGTCATGCAAATTTTGCGGGAAACAGGTTTCACAACTTTCCGCCTGGAACAAACTGGATCGCTCTGATAGTTGATTGCTCCTTTGCGCTTTGCATTGCTTCGCTTTTAGACTTCTGCTTTTTAAAAGCAAAGCCCTAGCAATGCAAAGGAGCAATTGTAGGAACCCGGCTTTTAAGCAATCGGCCCTAGCAAGGTGTGGTTTTCCAACATGCTGGTCTATACCGGTTTTTCATTTGTGCGGAGTTCGCTACCGGTCTATGTGACCAGCCTTTTCTCTTCCGCTCGGGAAACCCCTACTCAATTAAGTAGGCGCCTACTAGCTACTACCTGCAAGTAAGTAGCTACCAGTAACTGGACGCATGATAGCTCACGCACTATTCATTTGCTTTCTAGATTTTTAGGGAAACTTCAGCATCTGTGGAAAGGCAACTCCTTCCTGAACTTTGGAGATCAAGTGTGCCTGTTGTGAATTCTTTTGCCACAACTAAACCTCTCCAAAAAGAGCCAGTCGGAAAACAGGCAAAGGCACGGGGTTAGGAGGGGATGGCGCCTCACTTGCGCACACAAGATTTAACTCACCTGCGCACACAGCCTTTTTTTATACATTTAACTCACCTGCGCACACAGGGTTCGCTCAGCTGCGCACACATCGATTACATTCCGGAGGGAGGTGACTGCAGTTGAAATGAGACTCGCCAAGCGAAAATCAAAGAAGCCATGGCCTCCAACCTACTAGCGATGGCCTCTAACCTAGCTTGATTCAGATGCTGCTTCATGGAACAGACTCAAGCTAGACCCTCTGCGAGGGTGGGGCTGCTGGACTTCTTTCAGAACGGGCTCAGCATACGTACAATTATCCGGATATGTAAATCAAAGTGTCTCTCTCAGTGCCTTCAATGACAAAGATCAGTTGCTCTAGATTCTCTTTATTTATTTATCTCAAAAACGAAGCAAAGCGAGAAGATTTGGCACGATACCTGGAGATCTGGCTCGTCATGATACAACTCCAGCAAGCGACTCGGGTGCGGCGAGAGGAAAAACGAGTCTGTCAGGAGAAAAAGACGGAGCATGTAGGCCACTGTAGCCGCTTACAAATAGTTTATGCGTGTGCGTGTATGCTTACATACTGTTAAAACAACTGTCCCCCTTCATACGTAGATTGCTTTTTCGTCTATCATCAGAAAAAATGAAAGTTGCTGTTATCTGCTCAGTGACACACTACCACTACACGGCATCAAGCAACTGAGTTCAGCGCAAGGCAGCTGGTGGAAAGATTGGCTCTCTTGGAAAGGGAGTTGGCTCTTCTTTCGGTGGTCTGGGCGGCACCTCGATCTGCAGCTGCTGCATTAGCTCACAAATAGAGCGATCAGCCTTTACTGAGCACAAGTCACAAGTTGAAAACTACTTTTGAAGTGACAGGAGCGTCCGATTCCTCAACAATGGCGTAGTGTAAAACATTTGCATACACCTGAACGCAGGAATTCTTCAGAGCAGGGATAAATAGCTAGGAGCCTCCAGAAGCAAAATGAGAAAGGTTCTCAGAAAGCTATGATACTGCTCCTACTAACCAAAGGTGCGAGAGCCCTAGTCATATCATTTGGATGCATTACACGCGCTTTATGGACTGGACATACGTTCAATGATTTGTGCCGGTTGCACAACGCCTGCTTTTGGGTGATCATGGGATAGCATGGGCACCATGAAATGGATTCTCGTTAAGCAATCGTTGATTTCGGAAATCTAAAGGTCTCATTTAGTTTGCTACTTAGTAACTAGAAGCTATTAGGTGGAGGCCATCGCAAGTAGGTTGGAGGCCATCAAGACTAGTAACAAGAAGCTACTAGTAACAAGGTCTCCTTTAGTTTGCCCTTGTGCAGCACTGCCAGTCCGAAACTGCGCACCTGCCGGGTTGCCCTCTGGGCCAAGCCTGTTCGTGACATGAAATCCATATCGGAACTTCGACGAATATCGCATCCTTTCAGAACATCCCCACCTCCATGTCTAGAGCAACAACGCCTAAATGGAGAGCAGCACGGTTGAGCAAAGGTGAACCCAAGAACCTTGCCTCAAACAAACTATATGGCAAAACCGTTCACGACTGCTTCTCAGCCAAAAGACCGGCACACTGCAAGAGTGGCAAGCACGGCCTTGGTGCAATGCCACGAGCACACTGGAGTGACTTTGACTCCAAAACTTTGGAGCCCCACCGAGCAAACATCAGGGTTCAAGAAACTGGTTCTTGAACGGTTGGGCCGAAACCTCAACACTGTGTTCTTCAAGTTAAAACAGAAAGGGCCCGAAACACATGCAACACAGCAACAATGAAGGTCTATTCAAAAAAGGTTGTCAGGTTCACAAAAGGAAAAACTCCAAACTGTCTTTAGTCAAAATCGGTTTGGGACGCAGAAATGAATAAGTGTTGCCAGGCTCAGACTCTGGCTCTGAGGCCCTTCTGCCCCTCAGCTCCCAATTCTTGCAAACATGTTCGATCAACTCGCTTGGAACAGCAAGGGCACCTCAAATGAGGACGCGCGATGCTCTTGCTGTTTGGCCCAGCTGCACCTGACAGCATTCAAGCCTATTAAAGGAAAGCAAAACAAAGTCCCGACCGGCCTATGATGGTCCTTGGCTGGCTTGGGAACATACCGCGTCTCTCTCAAGGTCTCCGGTTTCACAGCCCTGCTTCGAGTTGACTCAGTTGACCGTTTTCTATGTTCTGTCGGCTTGAAAATCCAGATCCATTTGATCATTCTTGGACCTCAAACAGCAAGTGTCGGAAACCAGAGAGCCATCTCAAAAACTCCATCAAAGCACAAGGTGTCTATGTGGGCATGGTCCATTTTGCACACAAAGCACACGACACTAATACAAGTGATCTACACGCTCGACACAAGGTCACCCTGTAGGTAAAAGAAGATTGGTGAACCCATGCTGCACCGATGAAACGTGGGCATCCAGGATCTTGGAGTCCTTTTTCATCCTTTTTCCACACGAGGCATCCAGGATCTCAGCTGTCTGTTTCCTCGCCCATCAACGCAAATTGGTGATGGGGCTAGAGAGTCAGAACAACACGTAAAGCAAAGAAAACGTGTTCTCTGAGTTGTCTCTTTCCTATGTCAGAGTGAAGAGAAGATAAAAAAAATAGAAAGACTAGAATAAAAGCCAAATAAAGGAATGCATTCGGAACTGCATTACACATTGTAGTCTTGGGAACGTGTAGCCTTGATTGGCACTAGCAAGTTCCAAATCAAGGCCAATTTCATCTGCAAAGATGACCAAGCATCGAAAGGATGGCATCTAAGCAGCACGTTCATTTGGGAAGAAGCTCGGCCGGCAGACGGCAAAAGTTTTGGGCGGAGCATCCAAAGGTCAACAAGTAGAATCATATCACCAAATACTTGGAACAAAAGGAATGCTGGAAAAACAAATATATATATATATACACATTTTGATATAACGGCTCGAGCGGCTTCCTTGAGTACCTGTGCAAAGGCTCTCACGCACGCTTGTAAAGAACTTGCGCGTTGCCGAAGCGCTGCTCAGCACTGCAGGTCGATCTTGGGGTTCTGTGACGGGCTCGCTCTGCAAAGTACCTCTTAGTGTACATTTAGAAGTTCAAATAGGATCAGCTATATACCAACAGAATAAAAGATTCCTTGCTAAATACGTGTGCAATGCAGCACGGCTTTCGATCTATACAATGCCATCAGCTCCACTAGGTACTCCTGTTCTGGGCTCCCTTCAGCGCAGTCATGGAAGGAAACAAGAAAGTAGAATATGGTCAAGTCTTGATGCTCGTGTGACTTGTTGGAGCTTGCATGTGAGTCGTCTAGTGGACGATTAATTGACCACAGGCCAGGAAAAGCTGATTTGATTTTTGCAGCCCGGCCAAAAGTAGCCAAAGAAGCACGTAAGGCTCCCTGGACAAAGCATATAAACAACGAGCAGTTAAAGCCAACGAAGTTTTGTGCGGGCACTGCCACAAAAATGGCCATGCACTGCTTCAATGACTTGGCAGCATACTAGTAACTCCCGTCCAGAGACAATCTGTGATGCCTTTGGAGTCTTGCATCAAACATAACAGCAGAACTCTCCAAGTCTTCAAAGCCCCAAGCCAGTGTAAAGATTCTGTAGGCACCTTCTACCAAGAGCTTCAAAGCCAGAAACGTACACACCAAAGGCGCTGAATGTTGCAACTGATTGGTGGAACTGTCAGACACTCTGAATCTTGCCAGAGATGGGTTAATCAATCAAAGTATACACCTCCAGGCATTCCTCAAGTCTTGCTGTCGAAAGTTCAAGTGTTTATTGTTTTACATTCATGACTAAGGTTGGTGAACGTTCCCGAGAGGTTGTGGCTACTCCTCCTTGCTCCTTGTGCTCTGTATTTTTGGTTTGGGAAAGGGCAAAACATGGCATAGCATGACAGAAAGGACTTTGTTTCCAGGGTGGAGGTTGGTCAGGAGGGCACAAGGATGACAAACTCCTGTGAACTCTTCAAACATGACCACCGACCACCACCCAACAGGTGCTGCATTGTCAAACCCAACTTCACTTCTCAAACTACTCCAGCACCATGTTCTCTAAATGTTTTTTCGTTCAAGATGTAGGCTGTGTAGCAGGGGCGCGAAAAAGGCTGCATCTATCAGCTGTACATTTTGCGCAAGGCCAAAAGCTGCCCAAGGCCCTATGCTGGGACCTTGTACTCCATAGGAACCTGCCAAAACGAAGCTAGAAAAACACAACAACAAAGAAAAAAAAACCTTCAAGTACTAAGGCCTTCAAGCACTAAGGCCCTCGCTGGTGCCTGTGCCCACTTCTTTCTTTCACTCTCATCAGCCAGCCTGCCACAAGTCATGCCTCCTTTTGACTGAAAAAAAAAAGTTATCAAAGCCCACCTCAACTTCTGAGAGTCCTTGTCGATTTCAAAGAGCTTCGATTCAGAAACAACCTGAAACAAAGGTTCTGTTGCAGACTTATAACTTATAGTCACTCAGTCGTGGTGGCCTCAATCAGGGTTGACAACGACACTTTGAACCTTCTCACCTGGCAAGCTCGAAATTCATGCCTTGACTACCACGACATGCTCCCCTAGTAGCGTCCTTGCTCCTAGTGGCAATGCCCTTTGCTCCTAGTAGCGTCCTTGTCCCTAGTAGTAAGGCCATGAGCCCCTAGTAGCATCCTTGCTCCTAGTAGCGTTGTGTTTCCAACACACCATGTGTGTTGTAAGCCGTGTCAGCAACACCATTGGAAACTGCGAAATCAGCTCCAAAGATGTCCAGCCCTCAGGCTCCATGTGCTGCCGCAAGAAAAGATCCTCTGCAAAGTGCCATCAGAACCATTCAATGTTTCACAATAGAACTCTGGCGGACTCCTTGCAAAGGTTGTTTGTCGAGAAGTAGAACTCCACCTGGTTCCTGCAAACTGAAACCAAACACACTGCCCAATCAAACCCGGATAGCAGGAACAATATTAGTATTCAATCCGCATCCTCAGCCTGTCTCGCCCATCTTCTGACAGCGGCTCATCACCCTCCTGGGAAACTGCAACAAACTGAAAAACATCTGACCATTGAACAAGCGGCAGCTCCTTAAGGTTTACTGCTGCGGCCAACGGATCCAATACGCTTTGATGGAAACCTTTCACACTCTCAGCAATCCAGGACAATCTCTTAATTTACCCAGTTTCATGACTGCATATTTGGGTTCATGCATGCAACATGCACATCAAAGCCCGCTCAAGTCCCACACCCTTCTCTGCTCCTTTCCGGCCTAGATGCCAGAAGTAAGCGGTACTCAGTTGAGCACATTATATATGTAACTATGTAGTGTTGCTTGCACCTCCTGCTTTTGCACGGGCTTGAAGTTGTGCAGCCTGAATAGCCTTGATGGACAGAACTTTTCAGACATTGTGTGTTGATGAAGCAGTTTGAGCATTGCACCCGCGTCTGAGCAGCCATTTGTGAGTAGACGTAAGGGTGGTAGCCTAGCAAGGAATGCACATCAAAACGGTTCGCCCTCAATCCGTCACCCTTGCAAAAGCGCCTGGATAAGCTGGAAAACCTTGCCAATTTTAAGCACAAAAGAACACATGTGTAAGTTTCTGAATTTCCCACTGCAACAATGCACCTTGGTATGGATAGCCAGGATATCCCGCTCCTTGGACTGCAAGTCAGTCGAAACTGTCTGCAAACCAAAAAAATCTGAAGCTAAGCAGCCAAATGGATATGGGTAGCCAAATGGCGCCTTGGCATCCAGAATTCGACCTTTCCACAAGTTCATCGCTGGCACTGTGCTTCCTAAAATGTAAGCTGCTGCAAGTGTTGCAGTGCTCTCAAGATGGACTAGTATACATATGTCAGTTGCAAAATACGTAGCCTTGAAAAACTTCAGCCCCAGCCGTTGGGTTACTTCTTTGAAATACCCTAGCCCTTATTCTGAGACACCTCGCCGTGCACCCCCAGGATTCTACCCATGGCCCAAGTATTGAATCCGCCCAGGCGCTCGCTGTCTTCATCTCTTGTGCTTGCAAGGTGCAACCCAGGCCACTTCAAACTCTCGACCCGAAGCTTCCATTGTGCAAACAACTCCACAAAGCCAATGACACGCTCAGGCTGCAAAGGGACATTTGTGCCAGAAATTGTATCGATCCAATCTCTGGGCTGTAGATGTCCAACAGCCACGCCTCTTGACAAATTGGGAATCCTCCACGCGTAGTAAGTGCCACGTCGCTCCGCCGGCCGTAGTGACCTGGCGTGCAAGGTCTCTGGCTCGCGGTTGCAGTGGCAGCGCGCGCAGGATGTCCTTGACATGCAGAATCTTGATGTGGGGAAGTTCAACTACTTGCAGGAGACCTGCAATGCCTAACTTGGCACTCTGGCGCCTTGCAGAAACATCACAACGTATTTGACTCTCTGACCTCTTTTCTGTAAGAACCGATCGCTTTGCTTATTTTGAGGAGGGCGCCTCGTCCAAGTGCTAGAAGTCCAGCCACGCAAGCCATGCAAGCCACCCCCAACCCAACGCAAGCGTCAACGTCTTGCACTTTGCAGGGCATAGCAACATGATGTATACGGGCCCGTCTTCACGGACCCACGCAAAGCAAGATCCCAGGCACACTGCAGTTGTCGTTTCAAAGTTGGTTTGAAGGCGGAAACACTGGTCACTTACTTTCACTGACTCCACATAGACGTTGCAAGTTTTCCCTGCTTCATACCAGCGTCTCCTGTACAGCTGCAGGATCTCATGTTGAGCTGGGATTGGAGCAATGTCCTGAGGCTACAGCCGCGCAAATCACTCCATCAAATAAAGCATAGCACTTCTTGCTGCTTGTGACAAAAACTGACAGAGAGAGGTGGCTGGAAGGCCTTCACCTGGAAATCCAAGAGCGCAATCAAAATCCATAAGGTCTGACGACGAAGGGATTCAACGGCAAACGAGCGTGTGCAACTGGAGGCGTTTGAAGCCACCCGGTTCCAAGCCCATCACCTGAGTAACAAGCGTGATGCTTTTCCATCTTCATCATCAAGGTCTGCCAGCTTACATTTATTCCACGCCTTTTGAGCGTCACGATCTCTGGTAGGGTCATCAGCGGTATTTGAACGAGTGGACAGGCAAAGTGAATACAGGAACTCTGCTTGATGTT